ACACCCCCCCCCCCCCCCAGTCTCACATTATTTTTATACATGTATATAGCTCTGACATATACCACAGTGCTGTACAGAGGACACTGAGCCAGTCATATTTGTTTCTGTACAGAGAAGCTTACACTTTAATGCAGAATGGCGCCGTCTGTAGGGGGACTACAAATCCCAGCAATACATTTTTACAGCAATGCAGAGCAGTATATGAATTGGACTCTGGACTTAGCAACGCACTAGACACTGGATAGATCCTGCACTGCCAGACTGGCGCTGCTGGGCCTCAGCCCCCGGCCTCCTCCCCTGTCAGTGCCCCCCCCCCGCCTTGGGCCCTGGGGCGGCTGCACCGCCGGTATTTCCGCCCCTGACAACCATATTAAGCCGATTGGTGTGGTTTCGTGCATGCACATAAGACCCTTGAGAAAGAGTTATAGGTGATTTAACTGAATGCCATATCACCAAATCAAAAATGTCAATTTTATTAGGACTTTAAGAAACAGGCAAATTGTCATTGTGTTGGCCAAACTGATTGTACCCCAAATATTCAGTAAATATCATTATATTTTTCACTAAAGTGTTGAGATCATTCGGCTGGGGAACAGCTTCTACATTAATTGGGACCGGAAGATGTATTACCCCAAGAAGGACACCCCGGCGGAGGCCCGAACCACCACCCTCAATGAGGAGCTGGGGCAAATCAAATACATTTTCTCTGACAAGACTGGAACCCTCACCCAGAACATCATGACCTTCAACAAGTGTTCCATCAATAGCAACTCCTACGGTGAGCGGAACCCCCAGGGTCAGGCTAAAAATTGTCATAATTTTATATATATATGTAAGTCAGCAAAAGACACTGCCGGGCTTTCTTTCAAACTCTCATCATGCTTTGCAAACATGGCTGCACCCTGTAGCAAATGTCAAGACAGGCAGTGTAAACACTATGGGGGGCATAAGTAAAGGGAAATAGGAAACAGCTGAAACTTTTATTAAACACACAATATAACAAATGATGCACCGAGAGACCCGCCCCCAAAGGGCTCACATAGCGGCTATGCCAGCAAATGGGAACTTGACGAGAATCTGCCACCAACAGGGCTGGATTTCCCACAAGGCCAACCAAGGCCCAGCCTCGGGGCAGCAGGGGTGAGGAATTCCTATCTCCCGATGCCCGGGACATGCAGTTTCGGGCGCCGTGCGGGTAGTTGTTTTCTACATTTAGCCTTGCTTTGGACCAGCAGAGCTAAATGTACAGCGGGGAAGCCTCTGCTTGTTTTGTACAAGTGATCCCGGCGATGTCACCTAGATCACTTGTATGCAGCCTGCAGGTCTGCCATTCTCCATTGGGGGGAGGGTGTTTGGCGGGTAGTGGGGCGCGTTGAGGAACCTGGCCTTGGTGCAGCAAAGAGAGTAAATCCGGCCCTGGCCACCAACCAATGAATTTGAATGGTCGAAGTGATGGTGTCCCTTTGAAAAGATTTAAACACATGAAGCTCATTAAGTTGCTTTCCACCGTTCCTCCCCCATCTAACCTAAATCTCCACATGCATGGAGATCGAGATGGCCGAAGACAGTGAACCCAAAAGAAGACTGTGCGAAGATAAAAAGCACCTACGAAGGGAGCTTACATGGCTGGAAGGGAGGTATCTATAGTGGAGTTTAGTTCATCTTTAAATGGGACTAAGATGGCCCCCAAATAAATGTATAAATGGTCACATTTCACCAATACAAATGTATTCAGAGGAAATACAAATCTGCAATCAAGTATTCACTTTAACTGACTAAAAATGGCAAGTCCTTTATCAATATTTATAAAGAAATAGCTTGTTAAAATATTCCTGGTGCTCTGCGCTAAAAGTGTTTATATTCAAGCTAAATAGTTTGTCAGCCTCATTACCAAACTTGGATTTACACTGTATGACTCATCGTAAGAACATGACATGAAGAGTCCAGACAAAAATGATACTTGAAGAATGAAACCCCCTGACAGACTCCTCTGTCCTTGGGGGATTCTATTGGTGAGATCCCTGCATGGAGTTCTTGGGTCTGTACACTCGCTGTGCCCATTATGAGGGGCTCCCACCATCCCTGAGCTGAGTTCCCGGGTCTGTACACCTGCTGTGCCCATTATGAGGAGCTCCCACCATCCCTGTGCTGAGTTCTCCAACCAAGGCCCAGCCTCGGGGCAGCAGGGGTGAGGAATTCCTATCTCCCGATGCCCGGGACATGCAGTTTCGGGCGCCGTGCGGGTAGTTGTTTTCTACATTTAGCCTTGCTTTGGACCAGCAGAGCTAAATGTACAGCGGGGAAGCCTCTGCTTGTTTTGTACAAGTGATCCCGGCGATGTCACCTAGATCACTTGTATGCAGCCTGCAGGTCTGCCATTCTCCATTGGGGGGAGGGTGTTTGGCGGGTAGTGGGGCGCGTTGAGGAACCTGGCCTTGGTGCAGCAAAGAGAGTAAATCCGGCCCTGGCCACCAACCAATGAATTTGAATGGTCGAAGTGATGGTGTCCCTTTGAAAAGATTTAAACACATGAAGCTCATTAAGTTGCTTTCCACCGTTCCTCCCCCATCTAACCTAAATCTCCACATGCATGGAGATCGAGATGGCCGAAGACAGTGAACCCAAAAGAAGACTGTGCGAAGATAAAAAGCACCTACGAAGGGAGCTTACATGGCTGGAAGGGAGGTATCTATAGTGGAGTTTAGTTCATCTTTAAATGGGACTAAGATGGCCCCCAAATAAATGTATAAATGGTCACATTTCACCAATACAAATGTATTCAGAGGAAATACAAATCTGCAATCAAGTATTCACTTTAACTGACTAAAAATGGCAAGTCCTTTATCAATATTTATAAAGAAATAGCTTGTTAAAATATTCCTGGTGCTCTGCGCTAAAAGTGTTTATATTCAAGCTAAATAGTTTGTCAGCCTCATTACCAAACTTGGATTTACACTGTATGACTCATCGTAAGAACATGACATGAAGAGTCCAGACAAAAATGATACTTGAAGAATGAAACCCCCTGACAGACTCCTCTGTCCTTGGGGGATTCTATTGGTGAGATCCCTGCATGGAGTTCTTGGGTCTGTACACTCGCTGTGCCCATTATGAGGGGCTCCCACCATCCCTGAGCTGAGTTCCCGGGTCTGTACACCTGCTGTGCCCATTATGAGGAGCTCCCACCATCCCTGTGCTGAGTTCCCGGGTCTGTACACCCACTGTGCCCATTATGAGGGGCTCCCTCCATCCCTGAGCTAAGTTCCCGGTTCTGTACACCTGCTGTGCACGTTATGAGGGGCTCCCACCATCCCTGTGCTGAGTTCCCGGGTCTGTACACCTGCTGTGCCCACCCGCAGGCCATGCAAATGTATTATGCCTAGGTTTGCCCACTCCTCCAGACTGACATTCACCCATCATGGCATTTTTATATTTGCATAACTCCTCCCAAGTTCCAGCCCACTGCTTGCATCGGGGCTGAGGGCTCTTGAGAGGAGTACTGAGGCATGGCTAGTGGGAGGGTGCGGTATATACCCTCCTGAAAACATCACCCTGATGCCTTCTCTAACTGACCATGATCTGCATGGACATTTAAAGCTGAACTCCATCTTTAGACAACGCCCTGCACTTTGAAAAGACTAGTATGAGTGATGAGTGTGAGCACCATTTAGTGCAGTCATATTTGGAGCCCCGGCTGGCACGATGGTGCACCTCCCAATGTACATTGTGGGTTTAGAAGTGGGTTAATGTGCAGCCATTGCAAAGCCAAACAATGGGTTCAATATCACCACCACCACCACCATCACCACCACCACCATCACCGCCACCATAGATTTTCCATAATAAAGAGCAAGTGAATAAACAACATAATAAGAATAAATGGTGATCTGTAGGAATTTCTCATTGGGTCTGTACTTCTCTCTGCAGGGGACGTGTTTGACTATGCTGGAAATAGACTGGAGATTAATGAGGTAAGCTTTTCAGTTAACATTACAGAATCCATCCAATCAAACACAAGGCAAATAGCTTAATACGAAGATAAGATAGATATATGAGAGCTGTTTTACCCGCCAAAGGGTTGTATTGTTGTCCATCCAAACCTGAGATATCCACAGCCCTACCAGACTCCAGAGCTCTGTTGTTGACCAGTCTTTTGTCTACTTAGTGCTGCAGGTTGGTCACCATCCCCAGCCTGTGATTGGACAGTAAAGGAGAAGCAGCAGGCTGATGAGCGTTTCCTTCTGCTTATATGGCATGTTTCCTGATTGGTTCCCAGCATGACCCTACTCCCTACTAGTCTCTACTATCTGCAGAGCTATCCCTATAATGAGGCTGTCACCTCAGGCAGCATCATTTTGGGTCATGTTGGGGGGGGGGCAGGCCCTTTCCAGCCAGAGCGTCCCAAGTTCCTAAGAGCTGGGAGGGGAAATTTGTAAGGGCCATACACATCTCCCCTTCCAGCTCTTAGCAACCTGGGACACTCTGGCCTGTATCCCATTCAGCTCTAGCTGATGTCCTGGCCAGCTCCTGGCAACCAGTGATGTCAGTGAGCTGTGCAAGATGGTTGGCAGAGCTCGGCTGTGCACCACCAGGATATTAGGAATGCCCGTCTATTAGTATGGAATTGTGTTGCAGCATGACCATGGAAGGAAAACCATGCGGACCCAAGGCTGACATACAATCCCCATGCAGCCGTCCCGAATATAAGCCGAGGTACCTAATTTGACCAAAAAAAACTGGGAAAAAGTATTGACCCGAATATAAGCCGAGGGAAATGAGGCAGCTACTGGTAGATAGATACTAATAAAATTACATTAATATTTATTTAAAAGAAAAATAACCTAGCTCTGTAAGTGGAAAAGGGGGTACAGGGCTACATATCATGTACTACGGATCATTTAACCCATTCATTGGCGAGGTAAGTAAGAAGACGCGCTGGCGCTGACTCGAGTATAAGCCGAGGGGGGCACTTTTCACCCAAAAAAATGGGCTGAAAATCTCGGCTTATACTCGAGTATATACGGTATATTACACTATTTCCATTGAAAATCCCAAAATACAGCAAGAGACCCAGGGCCGGATTTCCCACAAGGCCAACCGGGGCCCAGCCTTGGGGCAGCAGGGAGTAGAGGGGCAGCAGGGGTGTGCAATTTGTATCTCCCGATGCCCGGGACATGCAGTTCCAGGCGCCTGGCAGGTAGTTGTTTTCTACATTTCGCCCTGCTTTGGGCAAGCAGAGGTAAATGTACAGCGGGGAAGCCGCCGGTCGTTTTGTACAAGTGATCTCGAC